AGAAGACAATCCAATTCAAAAATGGACAGAGGATGTGAACAGATACTTCACCAAGGAAAACATTCAGGCAGCTAACAACACACTGATGTAGGGACAGATTTAAGGAATGGAAGCTGCCAGGCCACATTCCTTTGTAAAATCCCTCATGGCTAGGAGCTCTGGTGGCATAGTGCCTAAGGCATTTGACTACTAATCAGAAGGCTGGTGGTTCAAACCCACCAGCCACTCCTTGGAAGGAAGACGGGGCAATCTATGCCTCAGAAACCCAAGGAGGGGTCACTGTGAGCTGATTCAACTCGACAGCAGTGAGTTTGGCTTTTTTTTTTTTTTTTTTGTGGTACTGACAGTGAGGTAGGGACAAATGTAAGGAATGGAAGGTGCTGATCATATTCTTTTGTAAACTACTTAAATTACCTTTACTGATTGTTGTTGTTATATGCCGTCGAGTCAGCCCCAACTCATAGCGACCCCTCCTTGGGTTTCCGAGGCAGTATCACTACGGAAGTAGGATTGCCCAACCTTCCTTCCGAGGAGTGGCTGGTGGATTTGAACCGCCAGCCTTCTGGTTAGCAGTCAAGTACTTTAGCCACTATGCTACCAGAGCTTCTACCTTTACTGATAGGAACCAGAAAAAGTACAATTAGAAAAGTATGTAACCGCCAGACTGTTTGTTGCAGGTCCTAAGGTGTCAACACAGGGGACTCAGTGACAGAGCCCCTTTTGATCTACAGATAAGCAGAGGCATGGATCAGTCTGGAGGACCAGAACAGCAAAAGCCAGGAATCCCACCCACGTGACATGCTAACTGTATGTACAACTTCCTCATTCTGTCCCCTGTAATTGCTATAAGCCATCTGGGAAACTCTGGCAGTCCACAGCTAGCATGCCAATGCCCAGTGGCTGTCCGGCTGTACAGTCTTGTGTAGTGTTTCATTAAAGGCTTGCTCTCTATAAAGCACCTCTTTCTCTGTGAGCAATGCTTTCTTGCCAGAACCCATTTGGGTTTTACAGGGTTGTCCTCTTATAACAACATGAAGAAATGCTTGCAATCAGTAGCCATTGTTGTTGTTGTTGTTATGTGCCGTCGAGTTGGACCCGACTCATAGCGACCTCTCCTTGGGTTTCTGAGGCAGTTATCACTACGGAAATAGATTGCCCAACCTTCCTTCTGAGGAGTGGCTGGTGGGTTTGAACCGCCAGCCTTCTGGTTAGCAGTCAAATGCCTTAGGCGCTATGCCACCAAAGCTCCCAAAAGCTTAAGGAAGACAAGGATTTAATGACCAGCAGGCCATTGGGGAGGTAGAGATGCAAACCAGAACAATAATGCAAACCAGCACTAATATTAAATTTCAAAAAAACAGAAAAAAATAAATGCTGGTGAATGTGTGGAGAGACTAGAACCCTTATACGCCGTTGGTGGGACTGTAAAATGGCGCAACCTCTGTGGAAAACAGTATGGGGCTTCCTTAAAAAGCTGGAAACAGAAACACCACATGAACCAGCAATCCCACTACTGTTGTTGTTGTTGTTGTTATGTGCCGTTGAGTCGGACCTGACTAATAGCGACCCCTCCTTGGGTTTCTGAGGCAGTATCACTATGGAAGTAGATTGCCTCATCTTCCTTCCAAATCCCACTACTAGGCATGTATATATATCTATATCTATATAGATATATATCCATTCTAGAAAAATAAGAGCTGTATCATGAAAAGATATGTATACCTATGTTCATCACACCACTATTTGCAATAGCAAAAAGATGGAAGCAACTTAAATGCCCACCAAGGGGGGAATGGATCAATAAACTATGGTACATGCACACAACGGATACAATTTGATGTTAAAGAACAATGATGAATCTGCAAAACATCTCATAATGTTGAAGTTAGAGGGGATTATACTGAATGGAATTAGTCAATCACAAACAACAAATATTATGAGACCACTATTTTAAAAGGCCAATAAAAGGGTTTCACAAAAAAAGAAAAATACTCTTTGACCGTTATCAGGTTAACAAGGGTGGGTTGGGGGAGGGAGGGTAAGCCACATACTAGAGAGCGGACACATATAAACTTGAGTGAAGGAAATAAAATAATAATAAAAACAACAACAATAATAATTGAACTGTCCTAAGACCTCCCCCTGAAAAAATTATATATGGATTGAGAAGAATTTGAAGATCATATTGAGACTTTTATTTCTGTGACTGAGAATAAAAGTTGAGATCAACCAGGTAGAGCACAGAGTGAAAAAAGAAGGTCCAGGGGGAATCCTGGGGACACCACTAGTCTAAAAGAGACAGAGAATGAGACCAAGAAGGAGTGGAAGAGGAGAACTGGAAGAAGGTGTCACTGAAGCCAGAGGCAGTTACAAGCAAGTAGCAATGGCCAAAGGTAAAATACTGCTGAAAGCTTAAGGAAGACAAGGATTTAACTGGGGAGGTAGTTTATGTGCAGTGACAGATAGCAGCCAAACCGCAGGCAAAGCAAATAGAAGGTGAAGAATGTGAAGCAGTTGGGAGAATACTACTGTTCTGGTTACCTAGTGCTGCTCTGACAGGAATACACCACAAATGGGATGGCCTCAACAAACAGGAATTTATTTTCTTACAGTTTGGAGGCTTTAAGTCCAAGTTCAAAGTGCCAGGCTCTAGGGGCTGGGTGAAAACCCCTCAACCTTAGGCTTCAGCTCTGCCTTCTGCTCCCGGCCCACTGAAGCTAGAGGCTTTTCTTCACTCGGACAGCTACTGGCTGCTGAGGCTGACAAGTAAGAAGGCACAGTCCTGATGTTACCAAACCACACAGCAGGCCATTAATTCAAGTCCATTGGAAGTCCCAAGGTCCGCAGAGGATAGTAGCGACACAGCTACATGTAGGGTTCAAGCATGCCGTAAGCTAGAGACCGTTTCCAAGACTTCTCCTTATATACAGGAAGCAGATCACATCCCTCAAGCAGCTACTCAGCTGCTCACAGTAGATTCTACCATGGAGTTGATTACTGGTCTCATCCTGGGAATTACACCCAGCTGCCCAGCCTCTCAACAAGGCTCAGCCAAGCTGACACAAACTTTACCACAACTACTCTTTTAAGAAACATTGCTGTTAAGAGAACAAGAATAATAAACAGGACATATGATTGATAGGGCACTTTGTGCATTTGTTTTTTAACAGAGAGGCAAAAACTTGAGCATGTTAATAAATTGAGAGGAGGGAGTTAGTAAAGAGGGAGCAAGAGGAAAGAACTTTCTGTGTGGAAATCATAGGGAGAGTCAGGCTGAGGCTGATGCCAGGCAGGTCTTGCGCCTGCAATGAAGCAGAGGGGCACCAGATGTGGAGAGGTAGAGGGAAGGTTTGTTTGTTGGGGAGGGAATGTGGTTGGATAAGAAATTAGAAAACAAAAAAAGAGTTTTTGTCTGACAGGCTGCAGTTTTCTGTGAAGGAGGAAGCTGAGAGGTTTGGGGAGAGTGGTGAAGGTCTGAAAAAGCTGTCTAAGGGATTGGGAAGAGAAGACTAAGGACATGTAGAAGGATTACACAGAAGGGTAACTAGGCAACTTCATGCATCCAGAATGGAAATCATGCATTTGTGATGGTAATTACGGTATTAGTATGACTTCCTGCCAATCCAGCAGCTGAGTGCACCAAGGTAGGGAGTCTGAGTCACAGATAAGTCTAGCAAATAGGAAGATAAAGGGGGCACAGAATTGAGAATGTGAGGAGGCTATGGCTAGTGTGACAGACCACTGGAGCCAGGTGCCACAGGGAAGGAAAAGAAGATGGAGGGCTCAGATAGTGAGGGAAACCGAGGGCTTAATTAAGGATCAGAATTTCCAAAAAAAGTGAAAGAGGAGAATTAGAACAAACATTTAGGGATATGAAAGATTACACCTAAATCAGCAAGAGAAACATAGAAGTTTAAAATTTCTAGGGTGGTACAGGTCTGAATACCTACCAGGCCTAGAGTTGGCCAAGATATAGTTAGACAAAAGGAGAAATTTAATCAAGAAAACACTAGGTCCAATTCACAGGGAATGGTTCTATGTGTTCTTCATCCGAAAGACACAGATAAATAAGATGATCTATTATGAATCTTTCTTTCCATGGATTCAATTTCCTCTTTCTAGCATGTTTATCATTGCAACATTCCTTTTTCCCCCTTTAGAAAATCCCTCATGATCTAGTTACATTTTTCACATCCTCTATCCCTTACTTTTTTGCTCATATACCAAGTCCAATCTCAATAACAACACTGTCCTATACTAAATCACAAGTTAGTAGTTTTAAGAAGGTATCTATAAGGTCATTCAAAAATATACTTTGTCAATAACCATGAAAACAAGCAGTGACTAATTTTTCAGGGTCAACATTTTCTAGAAACAACACATCTTACTAATAATAATAAAACATGAATCATCATCATCATCATCTATTCAAGTTCTTTCAAGGCTAAGCAAGATATCTTATATTAAACCTCACTTAAATGGCACTGAGCAGAGAGGTAGTATAAAGGGGGCCTTGGGTTTTAAAATGAAAAACAAACACACAACAACTAAAGGAAGGAAAGTTACAAAGGAACATCTTTTAGAGTAGCCTAGCTACCCATGGTGAATGTATTTTTCATTTCATTTTGTCACTATTTGCTCACTCCAAGGATGGCTGGAGGCAGCTTCCTTTCCAACTTTCTGGTTTGAGCAGTTTCCACAGTCTCAAACAATATCCTATCAACATATGCCAAAACTGGTTTAACACTGGTATAATATGACAAAAAATCAAATCACCAACATCTGCAAAATAAATTGGTTCCTCTTGTGTTTGGATTGATGTAGGAACATTTTTGACGTATCTTACTGAACTATTTGGAAATCAGTTATGTGTATCTTGTGTATCTCCATACAATCACAGACTGTACCACTTTCAAAACGTATCATCTGAATATCAGAATATGCAGTAGGCAGTATCTCACTGTAGTACCTGCACATGATGGTTTTGTTTTGAATCCTACCTGTGTGGCCTCTGAATGTTGTGACCAGGGTGCAGTTTTCTTGCTCCAGTTTGAGGATTGTAACTTGGCCTGAGTGGTCACCAATAAACACATGCCGGGTTTCAACATCAAATCTATCATATAAACATTAAGGATTGTTTCTCAAAACTGAGTGGAGGGATTTATGATTTTTAAAAAGGCATAAATGTAACAAGAAATGTGCAAAACCCTTATGAGGAAAACCTGAAGGTACTCCTGAAAGACACAAAAGTGGACTTAACAAATGGAAAGACAAACTCTGTATTACTGGACAGATGACCCAACATGATAAAGATGTCAACTTTCACAAGTTTTATTTATAAATTTAATGTAACCACAATTAAAATATCAGTAGATTTTTTTTCTAGTGCTAGATATGTTAATTACAAAGTTCATTGGGAAAAATAACCAGGAAGAGCTAGAAAAACTCTGAAAATAAGAGTAATATAGTATGTGATTGGGAGAGGTTAGCCCCAATACATATTAAAACATGTTATAGAGTCTCTATAATTCAAAGTATGATAAATACTTTGTATACATATGGGGCATACACAGCCAAACAGATCAATGGAATAGAAAAGGAAGTCTAGAAATACACCCAAAAGCATATAAAAATTTAGTACATGTCTGATAAAGGTGACTCTTTAAATCAGTAAAGAAAAGATGAATTTTTAAAAAACAGCTAATGTTGCCACAAACTCATTAGTCATTTAGAAAAAAAAAGTAGGATCTGAAGAGGAGTTCTGGTGGTGCAGTGGGTAAAGCATTTGGTTGCTAACCAGAAGGTCGGCAGTTCAAACCTACCAGCTACCCTGTGGGAGGACGATGAGGTAATCTACTTCTATAAAGATTAAAACTTTGGAAATCCTATGGGGGTTGCTAAAAGTCAGAATTGACTTGATGGCAGTGGGTTTGGGATTGGTTATTTCACATTATATACCAAGATAAATTCCTGATGAGTTAGGGATCTAATGCAAATAATTAAAACTTATAAGCTCTAGATGGGAGAGTTCCTTTGCAACCTTGGAGTGGGAAAAGCTATGACTCAAATTAGTGATATAATACTATGAATAATTTAAAACACAGACACATGCACACAAATGAACAATAAATACCATAAGCAAAGCCAAAAGACATATATGAAAAAATATTTGCAGTTTATATATAAGGCCAAATCTCTAATATTAAAAAAAAGCAACCAGAAAGACCACAAACCTAACAGAAAAATGGGCAAAATATATGAATGGACAGTTCAAGAAGAAATGAAAACAGTCCTGAGCAGAAGTGTTAACATAGGAGGCCTGACTGCTAGCCCTTGAAAGGCCTGCAGACAAAGTTGACTCCTGGCTGGCAGGTGGAAACTTCGATTTCAAGTGTCTCACCATTAACTGGTAAGAGTGGTTCATTGGACTTAAACTGTACAAATGATACAGTTTATGCCAAATACCTGCTTTTCTTCTGGAAATCTAAAACTTTGGTTTGTGTCAGGCAGAGGCTGACTACGTGAACTGTCCCAATAACAATCATGGGTAATGAGTCTGTAATGAGCTTCCCTGGTTGGTAACATTTCATAGATGTCACAACTCACTGTTGATGGAATTAAGAGTGCCCTGTGTGATTCTACTGGGAAAGAGACCTTGGAAACTTGTGCCTGGTTTTCCCCTGGACTTCACCCCCTGTGATTTTCCATTTGCTGATTAGAATCCTTGCACTGTAATAATCATAGCCATGAGTACAAGTGTAAGCTGAGTTCTCCTGGCAAATCAACACACCAGGGGTGGTCTTGTAGACCTCTGATAGCGGTCCTTAAAACAAAACAAAACGAACAACAACAACAAAAAAAAAAAACAAATTCACTGCCACTGAGTCGATTCCAACTCACAGTGGCCTCCTTTGGGTTTCCGAGACAGTAAATCCTTACGGAAATAGATTGCCCAGTCTTCCTTATATTTGTTATGGACTGAACTGTGTCTTCCAAAAGTGTATGTGTTGTGAACCCTAACCAATATGCACATGATCTTAATCTCATGTGAGAATGGTTTGTATTTGTTATGTTAACAAAGCTTATCTTGAGTCAATCTCTTTGAAGATATAAAAGAGATTAAACAAGACAGCAGAGTAGAGATGGGGTAAGACAGATGCCAAGAAAAATGTGGATCTCCAAGGAATTAGGAAGCAGAAACTGAAGAGACAAGGATCTTCCTCCAGAACCAACAGAGAGCGCCTTCCCTTAGAGCCAGCACCCTAAATTTGGACTTCTAGCCTCCTGTGAGAAAAACCTGTTTAAAGTGCCGAAGAGCAAAGATTTCTCTTTGAAGACTAAGGTGAGCCTAACCTAAGGCATGGTATTTTCAATCACCTCATATGCATGTGAAAGCTGGACAATGAATAAGGAAGACCAAAGAAGACTTGATGCTTTTGAGTTGTGGTGTTGGCAAAGAATACTGAAAGTACCATGGACTGCCAAAGGAATGAATAAATCTGTCCTGGAAGAAGTACAGCCTGAATGCTCCTTGGAAGTGAGAATGGACAGACTTTGCCTCACCTACTTACCATGATTGGTCAAGTGGAAGGTCAATGAAAAACAGAAAGGTCCTCAATGAGATGGACTGACAGAGTGGCTACAAAGACGGGTTCAGGTATACCAAGGATTGTGAGGCTGGTACTGGACTGGGCAGTGTTTTATTTTGTTGCACATAGGTTCACTATGAGTCAAAGCCAACTCAATGGCATCTAACAACAACAAACTGTGAGGAAATGAATTTCTGTTTATTAAAGCCACTCATGTATTTCTGTTATGGCCTTATTACGTAACTAAGACAGAACCTGGAAGAGTGGTGTGCTACTTTATCAGATACCCGAAGTGTGAAATGAGTTTGGAATTGGGTAGTATGTAGAGGCCAGAAGAGTTTTGAGGAGCTTAATAGTAAAAGCCTAGACTGACTTGAAGAGATTCATGGTAAAATTATGGATGTTAAAGGAAATTCTTGTGAGGGTTAAGAAGTGAGGCCAGCGATAAAGAAAGTCTCTATCATCTTAGAGAATATATATGATATCAGCAACAGAATGATGCGAGAAATGCGGATGTCAAATGTGCTTCTGGTGAGGTTTAAAAAGAAAATAATGAACATGTGATTGGGCAAAGAAGGAAGGGCAAAGATTTTTCTAAGTGCCAAAGAACTTGTCTGAGTTATGTTCAAATGTTTGGTGGGAGGTAGAACTTCTAAGTGACCAGCTTGGGTGTGGCTGATGAGATTTCTAATACGATCTTAAAGGAGCCTGTGTGGTTTCCCCTTGCTGCTAATATAAAAGGGAGAGAGGAAAGAGATGAACGTAAAGATGAACTGTACAAATTGAAAACAAAACTTAAAGAATTGGAAAATTCTGGGGTCAGAGACACAACAAAAGGAAACTGTCTGCCTCTTGGAATTCCATAGGTGGGAAACAGGCCAAAGGACCTACATGTGTTGTCCTCCGAGAAAAGATTGTCCCTGGAGCAACTGTTGTTGTTGTTATTTGCCATCGAGTCGGACCCAACTCATAGCAACCCCTCCTTGGGTTTCTGAGGCAGTATCACTATGGAAGTAGATAGGAGTACAAAAAAACTGTTGGAAAGAACATGGGAGGCAAAGTCTTCTGTTTCAAAGGGTGGGGACACAACCTCCTAGGTTTCAAAGAGTGGGATCTTCACCAACTTGGTTCCAGAGTGTGGGGCTGCTGTTAAGGTGTGCCAGCCCTCCAAAGCTGAGAGGGTGGGTTTGCCATGCTAAAGGGATAGAAGAACAGGGCCTGCCACAGCCAAGGGGGTGGAGTCACCAGTCAGATGGACTAGGAGACTAGGGTTGCCTAAAGCCAACCAAGCAGAGTTGCCATATCAGAGGGCTTGGAAGGCAAAGCTGAATCTCAGGAACAAGGGGCTTCCACCCACAATCCAGAGGGCTTGGCCTACTCCCACAGTCTAGAGGGCAGGGCCATTGCCAAGATGGTCTCAGAGAACAGAGGATTGTTTTCAAGTATTGAGAGCTAAAGTAATTTGTTCTGCTGGGTTCTGGACTTGCATGGTGTCCATTATCCCTTGTTTCCCTCCAATTTATCTCATTTGTAATGGAAAGGTCTACCTTGTGCCTGTTCCATCATTATATTTTAGAAGTAAATAACCACCCGTAGTCTAGATTTCACAGGTTCACAGATGAAGAATTTTGAGCCAAGATGGAATGTGCTTCAAGTCTCACCCATCTTTCATTTGGATAATTCAAAAGATGAGATTTTAGACTTGGACTTGATTTATGACTCTTGGATGCAGTGAATGTGTTTTGCATGTGGTGAAGACATGAATTTCTGGAGGCCAAATGGTGGAACATTATGGATCAAATTGTGTCTTCTAAAAATCTGAGTTGTAAATCCTTACCTCTATGCCTGTGGTTATAATCCCATCTAGGAATGGGTTTTCTTTGTTATGTTAATGAGGCAGGATTATATAGGATGTATCTTGAGTCAATCGTTTTTTGAGATACAAAAGAGATTAAACAAGAAACTGAAAGAAGCAGAGACAGAGGAAAGAAACATGCCAAGCCACATAGATATCTCCAAGGAACCAGGAAGTAGAAGCTGAAGAAACAAGGACCTTTCTCCAAAGCCAATAGTGCCCATAAAGCCAGCCCTATGAATTCAGACTTCTAGGATCCTGCCTGTACGGTGAGAAAATAAATTTGTTTGTTAAAAGCACCCACTTGTAATATTTCTATTATAGCAGCACTAAATAACTAAAAGGAGCTCTGGTAGTGTAGCGCCTAAGGCACCTGACTGCTAACCAGAAAGCTGGCAGTTCAAACCCACCAGCCACTCTTCGGAAGGAAGGTTGGGCAATCTACTTCCATAGTGATACTGCCTTGGAAACCCAAGAAGGGGTTGCCATGAGTCAGGTCCTACTCAACGGCACGTAACAACAACAACAAATAACTAAAACAATATTCAACCTCACTCATAATTAAAGAAATGCAAATTAAAACTACACTAAGATAACGTTTCACTTCCATCAGATTACAAAAATTGAAAGTTTGGCAATGTACTCTGTGCCAAGAATGTGGGGGAAACA